AAATGTCGTGATGAGAATCCTTCCCCGCCAGTAGGCTACAAGTAGAGGGTGCGGCAGAGAGGATGGACGGTTTTAAAAAAATCATAAAATAGTTAATTTTTACTCGAAATCAGGTTCACAAGGAGAGAGCATTTGAGACAGTCAAGTGTGGAAAATTACATCAGGCATGTGGTGGCCGAAATCGTTGATGCAGTGCTGGAGGCGTTCTTGGAAGTTCGCGTAGACTCTCTACAACATCGCTCTCTCAACTTGGGCGACTTCGACGCGAATTTCTCCCTTCAATTCGTCCAGAGTTCGGAGCTTGTTCGCGTATACTCTAGCCCTGAGGTGTCCCATAAGAAAGAATCGCGTATGGATAAATCTGGGGACCGAGGAGGCCAATGAACATCGCCAAACCTGGAAATAAAGCGACCAGGGAACAGAGGACGAATAACGTCCATGGATGCTCGGGCTGTGTGGGCGGTCGCCCCATCCTGCTGGAACCACACACGTCGGATTGGAACACGTCGCCGTCGTAATTCAGGGAGAAAGAAGTTGGTGGTCATGTCGACGTAGCGCTCTGAGTTCATTAGCCCATTAACGACAATTCTGCTGGTTAACCATGCTGTTTAGGTGAAATTGGGCTTCGTTACTCCCAAACAAAATGAGGTTCTGCGCCTGCGAAGTGATTCAACCCAACGAAAGATGGTGTTTCGAGAGGGAACAGCTCTATTCCGATGAATGTTGAAGTGGCGACGAATCTCACGCTGTACGACGATGACTGACTCATTATTTCGGACGAAACAATCATCAACTCGTAAAATAATGCTAGGATCTCACGAGTCAAACGGCACCCTTCCCACCTCTCTCGTAGACGAAGGCTGAGAGTACTACCCATCCCAAAAACGTCCGTCCTCTCTGCCGCACCCTGTATAGTGAAATAACAATACAATTAAAAATTTCTATGTTGCAAATTCCACAATGGTGAGGCTCCGCTCATTGTGCTAAAGAATGATACAGATGTCCGATATGGACACATAACTCGGGCACCGGGTTCAAGTATCTCATTAGATCATTTTGTTGCCCATGAACATCGTAGTCGTTTAACTACTCAATAGAACAAAACTGTCCTGAATTATCCTTACGAGCATTAAGACATTATCTAATAAAAACAATGTAAGGATACGAGTACAAACACAGACATTACAATTTGTAGCTCCATCGCACATATCTTCAAGCTAATTGATTTATTTATTGACCAACAGACGTTCCTCATTTTAATTCACTGGATGTTGTTTTGTATTTGTTGGCTGCTTTTATGAATGGAACAGTAGCTCATTAAAAGATGCACGTATCATAGTACCCGTTATTGCTCGGTGTTTTCATTCCAGAGATTTGACCTTCGGATAAGTTTCGCGTCTACTTACGTTTTTTGTAACGGTACCTTTAAAGTTGCATATGAATTGAGAAATGTTTTTACTTTCTACCTTTTTGTATACCGAAGCAGCCACGTTGGCAGAAGCGTAAATACCGGGGCACTTTGTAAACCTAATTTTTGAACTGTCCAAGGTTAGAACTGAATTAGAATTATTTCACGATCGCGACAGAATATATGGCATATCTATGCCATATGGAATCGGAAGAGTAGTTAAATCAGTGAAAGCTCGAAGTGATCCAAGGAAATTTAGAGCAACGGTTGCCAACTTTACTGATTTTTGAGTGGGTCTCATGTGAAAATACAAAGAAGTCCGAGAAGACTCAAGGAAACTTGAGATGACACAGAAAGGTCCAAGACTGTCTTTTCTTTCAAAAACATATCAGTCATTGGTTAGACTTTCTCTCAGAAAGCATTATACTTAAAAACTTCGGAGTTATCCACATTTTACTGGCATCAGAGTTGACCTACGTGACACGATTTACCCTAACGAATTTCTGCGTCGACCTCAAACAGCCGACAAAAGGCCACTTGTGACGCAGAAAGCGTCTTCCCCAGTTCTATTCGTGTGAAATTGTTCGGCTAAATAGCACCATTAATTTATTTCGGATAAGGTTCTTGTGAAAACAATCGAACTTCTCGCTCTGCTTCTCGCATTGTGTTTGATCTGTTTTTGTCATCGAAACCTCTTCAGAATACACCAATAATAAGATGCTCATTAGCAAAATAAGTCCAGTGATTGCTTTGATTTCGTTTATAAAAAATGGACTCAAGTAGGCTGACTCTGCACTGAGCTTAAACAACATTGAATGCCATAGTTTAGGCCCGTACCGTCAGTCGTCCATACAATTGTAGGGCGCGTTTATGGCCTCCTTGATTGTCATACTCCTTTCTCTCCTTCAAACATTTCTAGATTACACTTGTTCCGTGTCAGCGTCAGCGCCCTCCTATTATGAAAATATGTTTTCTTTTTAAATTGTAGGAAATTTCCGGCTGATAAAACATGATATAACTCAAAAGCAAGCACAATTTGATGCAAATAGATGTTTGTGACATAACCTCAAAATAGAGCGATGACACGGAGAAGTAGGAAACTATGACAATCAAGGAGGCCATAAAGGCGCCCTACAATTGTAGGGACGGGCCTTAACCTCTACCCGGAAAGAAAAATTTTTATTTACCCTTACAAAATAAATGATTCTGTATTGGAAAGGTGCGAAACTTTCAGGGATTTTTTCAACTACCACATCAGAGGAATTTTAGCTGGTGCGTATAACTCATATCGGTTTATTATCAGAAATTGTAGAAATTTCTACAGGGTGCGGCAGAGAGGACGGACGTTTTTGGGATGGGTAGTACTCTCCGCCTCCGTCTACGAGAGAGGTGGGGAGGGTGCTGTTTGACTCGTGAGTAGTGTTGTTGATTCTCGTTACTTTCGAGTACTCGTTACTAATCGTTACTCTTCTACAAAGTAATCATTTACTGTATTCGTTACTTTGATTACTCCGAGTATAACGATTTGACAGCATGAATCGTAATTAATTAGGCCCGTATCGTCAGTCGTCCCTACAATTGTAGGGCGCGTTTATGGCCTCCTTGATTGTCATAGTTTTCTACTTCTCCGTGTCAGCCCTCTATATTGAGGTTATGTCACAAACATCTATTTGCATCAAATTGTGCTTGCTTTTGAGTTATATCATGTTTTATTAGCCTGAAATTTCCTACAATTTAAAAAGAAAACATATCTTCACAATAGGAGAGCGCTGATGCTGACACGGGACGGGTGCAATCTAGAAATTTTTGAAGGAGAGAAAGGAGTATGACAATCAAGGAGGTCATAAAGGCGCCCTACAATTGTAGGGACGACTGACGATACGAGCCTTAATGTCGGATTTGAACAACTTCAATGGAACTAACTATAATATTATCTTGTAAGGAAAAAGAAAACCTAAAAACTGAAAATATTTTGTATTTACTAAAACTGCTTAAAAAACATGCCTTTTACTAGAAAAGCTTGAGCAAATACGGAATGGCAAATAACTTTTCGAAGCATTTAAATTATGCATGTATAAAAAATCCATATGGAGCTTAGTCTATACGTACTATTGATGGTCAAATTGAAACTTTTTTTATTATTGGATAAAAAGTAACATCGATATTTTGTAAGAAAATAAAAGATATTCAGTCTTAATTCCACAACCAAAGAGGCTTTCTCAATAAAACAATGGAATAAATGATGCAATGAAAATAAAAAAACAGTAACAACACATAGATAGAATGTAACAAAAAAAAAATATATTTTCTTAAAAACAAAACGACACAGGTTTGCTTAAAAAATATCAAAATATATAATGAAACAAACAATAAAAACTCATAAACAACACATACGGTGAGGTTCAAATTTGGCTGACATCGTAATGTGTACGAGAGAAGCGCGAAAAGCGTGAAATATCTGTTAGAAAGAGTGCGCCGATGGCATCAGTGAGCCTATACTTGGGATGCTAGGCAACGCAGTGCTCCTATCTCTTAGCACACGTATTGCATGCTTCCCGCGCTTTTCTCTCGTACACATTACGACGTCAGTGGTATTTGGTTTTCAGTGTTTAGAATGTAGCACAAACGCAATTACAAACTAAATCCTCATTAGGAGGTAGTGGCTGGAAAATTGGGAATGATTCATCCAACTGAAACATTATTAAACTACACTATTATTAGCTACATGACTATATTTTTTTATTTAATGAAAGTGAGTCTCAAACCAATGACTAAAAGAGTCTACAAAAACTCATAGGTTGTGATTATAATGTACGTAAGAAACAGGATTTTTGCTACATTCTCTCCCTCCAACCTATTTCTTCTCTCTGAAATTGATTGTCCAGCTGTAGAAAAAATTCTTTCAGACGGTACTAATGTAGCGACAATGCATAAATATCTTCTAGCTAACTTTCCTTTTTGAAGTGGTTTGGCTATTTGTCCTTAGCAGTGATATACTACATACATACTACTGCTTCCTGTATAAAACCATCATGAGGCAACAATTACTTTTCAAATCACTGAAGATTTTGTAAAATTAAACAAAAATCTATACAACTTTAATAAATATTCTTTAACATGAGGAGTAAACAGCATTAACTATCATAGACCTACAATACAAGTAAGTTTGATTTAGCTTCAATAAATAGTACAGATTGTTAGTATACAAACTCCAAGAATCTGAGAAACCAACAGAGAATACAGCATCCAAGTCCAAAAACACTTTTATCTTCAATTTGAAAATTTAGGCATAGTACTTCTCTCACTTAGTTGAGAAAAATAAAATCAAACTTTGCCTACATGATGTTAAAACATCTTTAAATAATAATTGCCCATTTGTGGACTATAATAAAATGATAATGTATTTAATGAAGATCATAGATTACTCTTACCTTCAGTACTTGCATGATTTGATTCTGTTTTTGGAAACGTTTTAGGTTGCGTTAAAAAAGTGTGATGTTTCAGTTGTAGGTGCTTTTTAAGATTTGAAGTTGATCCTCCTCTATAAGAATATGCCACATTATATTGCACTTAGCATTTCCCGTAGAAAGAGTCATAAAATGGAGCCAAATTTCACTTCGTCCATTTCAACCTAAAACAAAATAAAATGTTTAAAAAACCCACATTGTTTCTAATGTCATAGAAAAAAGTATAACTGTATGCCAAATCTAATAAACAATGCCTTACCTTGTATTTGTTCACGATTAAAAAATAAAAATTCGGTAACACGGGATAAAAAAAAGATTCAGAAAAAGAATCTCATGCCGGTTTTGTTTTATCTATCCTTGATTCCTTGAACCTGGAATCCGTTTCACAAAAGTATAGAAGCAACAGAAAATCTCAAAGCTCAGTCACCCAGGTCAGAAAACAAACACAATTTAAAACGCGTTTCATGAAGGGTGCTGTTACCGTGTTGTCGCTTTTCCGACTCATAATCATAATACTGCCGACGTGTGACCATCGGTGCCGACCTTTGCCCAATCCAATCGATTCCTTATCCCTTTTAAGGTGGCGAACATGACAACAATAAGAGTGTCACGGTATAAATAGGTACATTTTTTTATTGGCGGGCATAGAATTTGATAACTATTTTTAAATCTGGAGCTTCCACCCGATTGTGGGATGTTTGGCAACCCTGATGCATGAGCGGCAGTGCAACGATTGTACAGGTACCGGTAGCCGATCACCGAACGGATACGGAAAACAGAGTAATCAAGTAATCATTTCGTGCTCGGATTGGTACTCGTTACTTCGGGTATCTATGAGTAACGACTACTCGAGTATCGTATGATTACTTTTTCAACACCACTACTCGTGAGATCCTCGCATTATTTTACCAGTTGTCGTTATGGAGCCTTGGACGGTGGAGCACCGCGTTTTCGCCTATGATTGTTTCGTCCGAAATAATGAGTCAGTCATCGTCGTACAGCGTGAGTTTCGTCGCCACTTCAACATTCATCGGAATAGAGCTGCTCCCTCTCGAAACACCATCCATCGTTGGGTTGAATCACTTCGCCAGCGTGGTGAACTGATCAACAGAAGACCAAGAGGAGCGCCGCGAACAGTTCGAACTCCTGAAAATGTTGAACACGTTCGTCAGGTCTTTCTTCGCAGTCCGACTCGATCTGCCCGGAAACATGCTGCTGCACTTCGCCTTAGTGATCGTTCGGTAAGGCGAATTTTGCATATGGATCTCCGCTTTCACCTCTACATATTGGCCATTGTGCAACAGTTACGAAAGCGAACTTCCAAGAACGCCTCCAGCACTGCATCAACGATTTCGGCCACCACATGCCTGATCTGATTTTCCACACTTGACTGTCTCAAATGCTATTTCCTTGTGAACCTGATTCCATCAATAAATTTGTTTTCGAGTAAAAATTAACTATTTTATGATTTTTTTAAAACCGTCCATCCTCTCTTCCGCACCCTATCGCAACGTTTATTATGTCACTTTCAGTTCTTCTTGTAAGTAAATTAGAATACGGTGCAATTATTTGGAGCCCTGGAACTTTACCGAAAAACAATATTGAAAAAGTACTAAAAAAATCCTGAAATATACTGATTGACAAAAAAGGTAAACAACTACGTATGTCTATCCGACTTTAATAATTTTTGGCATATATGCTCAGTGTCCCTTACTAGTAAAATCGTTAATTTTTCATCTTGATTCGTCAACTGACTGCAATGTCATATTACTCGTATAACATCCAAAAAACGCAATATCTTATTTCAAATTTTTTTTGGGATTACAATACTTCTTCGCTCAGTGGCGTAGGGAATAAAAGGGAATTTTTGATTGGCGATGAGTGACGTGGTTTTACGTGGTTGTTAACATATTAAAATTTAAAATCCAATGACATTTTCAACAAGGACACTTCTTATTGTCTGTTTGAAGGCATTTAAATTTAAGGATCTGATTTGCAGTGGTGATTTGTTGTATTATTTGGGTGCTGTGGTTTTTAAATTTTTTTTTGACTTTTTGATAATATCACAAACGAAATGTGCATTTAAGTTCCCAGCTAGTTCTCCTAGTATCATAGGCAGTATGCGAGATATGTTCAAGGCAATTCATAAACTGCTTACCATACACCAGCGTTTCATAAATACAGGGTGGCGCTGCCAGTAAATGCGTCTGTTTCGTTTTCGATGCGCCACCCTGTATATTGAATGCACAATGTAAGTGTCTTCTATTCTTTGAATATTTGCAATCCGCAGTGTACTTCAGTGAATACAATATCCTCATTGCCCGCGTCTGCAAAGAGAATAGGTGTTGATTGATTTCCGTATCGAAGTAGACAAAAGCTGAAGAATGGACTCACTTTTCTCTACGAAAAGAATAAGTTGAAAAAGTAGCGACTCGAGGAATTGCATGAAAGTAACGAGAAAAGTTTTGGCTGCAGGCTTGGAGCGAAAGAAGGTGAACGGTAACAACGCTGTATTTCAACGCCACCGCCACTCCTTCACAGACCACCAGTTCCAGAATTTCCGGACAAATAAGTCCTGGATTGGTGGTGCAGGCGATCGAGAGTATGTCGCTCGTAACAATAACACAATTAGGAAACTTTTTATTACGTCTAATGCTCTTCCGAATCACCGCGAAAAGGAAGACAAAGGGATGTCAGTAGAAGTAATGTGCAGAAACCATATCTTTCAATAAGTTCGTATCCATTAGTCATTTTAGAAATGGAAAAATACAATCATTTTTTGCTGCCTAAGGATAGTAGAACTGTAAAAGCCTTCTCACGTAAATTGTTCCATTGTTCCACAATTTCGATACCCTAGGGACAGAGGAGCGGTCGTATCGGCCGGTCCTGGACGTTCAAGTTCGGCACGGTTAGGATGAGAGGCGGATGTCAGGCAGATCTATCTAGCAGGTCCATCGCGCGGCGGCATCATGTAGGGGAGCTCTGAGGAGCAAAGCCTGTTGGCTTAGCAGTAGAAGAGAGCTAGATCGCCGACGACGACGCATTTTAAAGGCGTGCCTTCATGTGAAATCATATCCCTCCAGATTCACCCACATAGAAGAATACAATCTAAGGGATAATAACGTTGCATGGAACGACCATAGCCTCAGCACATATACAGGGTGTTTCAGTTTATTGTTGCATAACTTGAAGCTTCGATAGAACTTTTAAAATTAATGCATAAAGTCTATATAAACATGGGTCGAAAAATGCGTGGCTTCCGAAATACAGGGTGTTCAAATTTACTTTCTAAAATAGTTTTTTTTTAAATATTTCAAACAATATTTGATGTATAACAGTAAAAATTGGTATACAAGGGTCTTTTGGTACGACAAAACGAACCATGGACATAGTTTTACTGTAGCCGCTAGAGGGCGCTCTCTACTGTACCTGTAGTGTATTAAAATGACCGAACGTTTTTTCTTAGTGCAATTTTTTGCTTTTTGAATAAAAAAAACTGATTCTTCGCACTTTTCAACATAAAAAAGCTCTCCTGTGAGTTTTCGTTATAGTTAGCCGTTTTTGAGATATTTCGATTTTTAAGATTCGATGCATTTTTAATTATTTATGGGAAAAAAATATTTTTTTTTACATTTTCGATTTGGGCATTACAAGTAATTAAGATGATCGTTTAGATTGTGTTTTTAAACACAGCAATAATTCCTAACTCCAAATAAACACAAAAAACAGAATATTAATTTGTTTAATTTTCCAATATTATTTTTAACAAATTAAATTAATTATTTACAACTAAAATGCTATTGGATAGTTAGGATAAACATACAAAATCTAAAGTAGTTGCTCGAAATGTAAACCCAATTGTTCAATACACAATTCACATATACGAATGATCGAACGTGGTATATCATTATTCAAATAAGGCCTTATTTCATCACATGCATTCCTGATTCTGTCTATTAGCATATCTCTTGTGGTTACGAGAGTCTAGTACACTTTTTCTTTTAGAAATCACCATACAAAGAAATCTAGTGGATTTAGGTCAGGGGATCGTGGAGGCCAGCCGACTGGTCCTCCACGGCCGATCCATCTTACTGGATAATTTTCGTCCAGCCAGTTTCTAACTATTCTCGAATAATGAGCTGGACAGCCATCAAGCTGGAACCAGGCCAATCTTCTTAAATCTAACATAACATCATCCCACATATTTGCATGTTCAGCCTTTAAAAATTCCAAAAAGGTCGCAGCATTTAACCTTACAGGCAAAAGGTAGGGTCCAAACAGTCGATTACGGTAGTTACCAATCCACACGTTCACACTTAATTCATGCTGAAAATTTCTTTCCCGAACTGCGACCATATATGTTGATTATGAAAATTTACCACTCCACGTCTAGTGAAGCATGACTCATCGGTCCATAAAACGTTACTTAAAAACTCCCTATTATTATCAGTTCTATCAAGAATCCACTGACAAAATGTGATTCTTCGTTCTCCGTCCCTTGGCTGTAGTCCTTGCACAGGTTGCAAATGGTAAGGACGTCTATGGTCATTTCTAAGACATGTGAACATGTCTTGCTGATATTCCCAAGGCACCAGAAACTCTCCTAACACTTGTGGTCGGATCTCTATCAAACTCACGCAGAATCATACGGGTAAATCTGCACTGACGAACATTTATGTTTTAGTCCCTTTGGAGATTTCCAAAACCATTTTCAATTATTTGGCGATGCACTGTTACAAATACTGAGCGAGTCGGATGTCGTCTGTTTGGAAATCTTCGTGCGTATTCTCTGGCTGCTTCTACTGCGTTTCCATTTACAAAGCCATACACAAAATGAATATCCGCTAACTCTTGATTGGAGAATAAAAATGGCATTTTTATAAAACTTAAGAAAAAACAGGCAAAAGAAACTAAATTTCGTGCATTCACAATTGCAAAAAAACGTTTCAGGTTCCAACAGACAACAAAACTAACTGTCAACTAATTGACGTTTAACCTTATTCTGCTTTCAATTTCAAGAATATTTGCAGGCACAGCCTACATCTAAGAATTATCGAGATACTGACTTTTTAACGTTATTTTATCATAAATAATTAAAAATCGAAATATCTCAAAAACGGATAACTATAACGAAAATTCACAAGAGAGCTTTTTTATGTTGAAAAGTGCGAAGAATCAGTTTTTTTATTCAAAAAAACAAAAAATTGCACTAAGAAAAAATTTCGGAGGCCACGCATTTTTCGACCCATGTTTATATAGACTTTATGCATTAATTTTAAAAGTTCTATCGAATCTTAAAGTTATGCAACAATAAAATGAAACACCCTCTAGACTTGACTATCTATGTGGATCTATCTTCAATAATTTGCCCTCCGAGTTAAAAATCGTCAACAACTTAAAACTCTTCAAAAAAACAACTTTTAACATACTTGTACCCTAAACGTTTTTACTGTCTGCGAGAGCTTTATAATTTTTAATAAATACATACGTATAACGTATAACTGTTTTATTGATTATTTTACTTATTACACATTTATACTGCATATTTTTTCTATTCTTCTATTTCACTACTTATACTTCTGAACAATTTTTTGTTGTTGCTTATTTAGTAACTTGTTATCACCTATTTTATTCTATGTATATTTTTCTTACTTATTTAAATCTGACCTCTTGTTGTTGACGTTTCATATTCGCAAAGCAATTTGAATAAAATTTATTATTATTATTATTATTGCGGCTGAAAGAAAAACTTCTCGAATTGTATCATTGTCAGCAACGGTTACTGTCAACTTTAGATTCAGTGGATCTACCGCCCACATCACAATCAAAGTTGGCTGTTGGATATGTAGACGCGTAAAAAAACTGCGCTGCTGATTTTGGCAAGAATTTCATGTCGTTCACCTTCCATACAACCGGAGTCCGGAGCCAAAACTTTTCTCGTTACGACTATTATACTTTTTTTCTAGTCCGGATTGTTTGTCTTGTCTTTGTAGGCAAGGTTAAGGCATGTCTCGCTATCCAATTTATTGGAGATTGTATACGTTTTTTTGGTACTGTAACAGTCTGCTTCTGAAGTAAGCTTTCGATAAATTGATTGTTTGTTCTACTTAAATGCTTGTAAAATATTTTCATTAAAAAAGTGCTGTTTCTAACTTTTTTCATGTCCGTCTGATCTAACGAATCAGTAACGAATATAGAATCCCAGGAGGGGGAGGGCAGGGGGCCCTGAAGCGTAAAAATATTTTAAAATTAAATAGCGATTTATTTTCACAAAGCTTGCAGAGCATTAGAGCGACTGGCTACAAAAAATATTGAAAGTATTCTAATTTCTCACTGGCAACTAGCTTTATACTATATATGGCTTATGTATGCCTTTATGAGGAAATTTACTGCTTTGAATAAAATCAATAACCTCCAGATGAGTTGTTTGCGTAACATATTTGGACAGAAGAAGAAAAAAGGTATAGCTACGCCCTTGATGGCAAAGTAATAGTTCATTTGAATGTTGGTAAATTCGCCCAGAAGGTGATCAGTATCTGCACACTCCACTGTTTAGCCACTGTACTGTCTTTACGAAGCTGTTGTTGTTGTTGTCAAAAGTGGTAGTTGTTATTTGAATTTACAAATTTTTCCTTCAAATCACCTGTGAGGTTGGTAGCTAGGTCATATTTGAAGTTATTGCTAAATCATATTTTAATCTTCTTAAATCTTTATGATACCTAGACATACTCGTTTGTCCACATATGATTCAGTAGTTTCATGAATCACAAAGTACTTAGGAATCTGTCAAGCATAGCGATTGCTGGTTAAATGTATAAAATTGACCTCCAAATTTCTGTTTTTGATCTTTTGAGACTTTACTAAGAACTTTTTATCAAAAAATGTATGATCGATAAGGTTTTAGGGAGTTCGGATTTTTTAAGAAAACTTTTTTGTAAATACGATGATTCTTCCATGGATTTTTGTCAAATCTATATTGGTATCCCTATAGATAATCGTATCATTCATATTTAGCAGTTATATACGTTTTAGTTATCCATATAGTTTAATAATAATATTAATTATCGAATAATGAATTTATCTAATTGCATCTACATATTATTTCATTGTCGAATATCGTTTTATAAAATTTAAAAGCATAATTAATTGAAAAAATCATTCCGTGATATTTTTAAACATGCGACTGACTTAAACTCTTTTAGTACATGCCAATTTTGCAACTTAGTATCGTTAAAAATATTAAATAACATTTCAAAAGGATGAGTATCTTGAAAAGCACATACGAGGGTGGTCCCAGAAGTACGCGACCCAACGAAGAAAACACAAGAATTTTTAATAAGTTCGATACCCTTTTTATAATAAGAACTGCCTTGCTCCTCAAAATAGTCATTAACTGCCGACATCACTTCTTTAATCCGAGGGGGCTAAATCTGGTGAATAGGGTGCATGAGGTAGCAATTCAAACTTTAATTCGATAATTTTGGCCATTGCAAAAACGGATTTGTGAGCTGGTGCATTGTCTTGATGAAACAACACTTTCTTCTTAACCAAATGCGGCCGTTTTTGCTTGATTTCATCGCTCAAACGTTGCAATAAGTGCGCATAATACTCGCCGTTGATAGTTTTACCTTTTTCAAGATAGTCAATGAAAATTATCCCACGCGCATTCCAAAAAAACCGACGCCATAACCTTGCCTGCAGATGAAACGGTCTTCGCCCTCTTTGGAGCTGGTTGTCCCTTTCGAGTCCATTGTTTTGATTGTTCTTTTGTCTCGGGTGTGAAGTAATGGACCCATGTTTCATCCATGGTTATGAAACGACGCAAAAATTCTGCTTTGTCGCTAAATCTTGCACACAGATTTCTCGTGTTCAAAATTTGCGATGAACCACACTTTTTGAAATGCCGACTGTGTTTGCTAGCTCGCGCACTTTCAGTCGACGATCATTCAGTACCGCTTTGTGAATTTTCTTCAACATTTCTGGAGGCGTCACCTCATTTGGTCGACCACTGCGATGCTCGTCTTGGCAGCTCATACAGCCTCGTTTAAACTCTGCTACCCAATATTTTACGAAGGAGCAGACTCACCCAGAGTAGAATCCAGTTCAGCTTTTATATTGGTTGGGCTGAGGCCTTTGAAATAAAAGTATTGTACCACATAACGATGACCAATTTTCTCCATTTTCACTGAAAACGTTCAGTAATAATGACTGCCAAACAAATACTAAACAACGTGGTGTCTTCAAACTTGACATATGCTTTATAGGTTGCATACTTTCTAATACAATGATATTTTTTAAACGACTATCGCCATTTCTAGGTCAGGCCGGGTACTTCTGGGACCACCCTAGTATCAAGATTTTTTCTCCCAAAATATTGCAAAATATTCTTCTGCCCATTTATTCTTCTGTTCAAAAATTCTATGGCCAGCCTTTCAGCATGAGATAAAAGACTATGAGAATCAAGGAGGCTATAAATGCGTCCTACGATTATTGTACGAACGACTGACAATACGGCCCTAAAAGTTAGCAACCAAACGTACATACGCAACATTACTGGTTGCGTACCGGACCGTGTTATTTTCCAAAATAATGTAGTGAGTAAAAGAGTTCACGAAAGAAACATATAATAATATATTATATACTTTCAGGGTTAGGTAGTTTCAAGCTCAATAGATCAATAAATTATGAAATTTGCCAGATCATTGAAAAGGGTTTGGCCTAGGAATCCCTACTGTCATTAATAAAGAGAAATTTAAATTACTGGTAAGTGATCAAAATAGTAAAAGGGTTAGGTGATTCTAACTGGCGTGAAAAAAAAATTCTAATAGTAAACTGATAATAATTTATTTCGTTGCCGAATATAACAGAAAATTTGAAAGTGTTCTATGAGAAAAAGTTTGGAAATTAATGATTTAAATGCTAAATTTACCCTATATTAGGTGGAAGATGAAATTTGTTTAACGCCGCTGACGTTTCACCCCGATGCGGTCCATAAACGCCCATTCTATGTTCTACAGAACAGGGCTGTCCAACATACGGCCCGCGGGCCGCGAACTCCTTTCTTGCGGCCCGCTTCACGGGTCATGTATAAATTACTCTCAAATAGCGAATATGCACAATTAATACATTAACTCTGTAATAATGTTGTATAGAAAGATTTTATAATGCGGCCCTTCAAACTGCATTTTTTTTAAGTGGCCCTTGGGCCACATTAAGTTGGACAGCCCTGTTCTAGAACATAAAAAGCTGTCTAATTATCCAGCATCTATCACGCCATCTTTGGTAAACATTTATAATGATCATTAACTTTGTTTTACTCTAACAGATGCACGTAACTACCTCAGCGTTGTTCAACAAGAACATGTACAAAGTTTACCCTTAATAACGACACAGGGCATGAAAACAAGTAGCTTATTTAGCTCAGATGCCGTACTTACAACCTGTAATATCTGCCAGACGTTATTAAGTCACGTTGTGTATAATGCATATTCCTTTTGAAGAGGAGTTGCTTAATTGCATGTTTTCGCAGTTTCAGCAAAGTAGAACAACTGCACTGGCGTATCTATAGGCGCTCGCAGGGGGAGGGGGGGGGGGTTAAGAACCAGGCTGGAATTTACATTATTCAAACATGTCTTTGAGGCAGGTGCACTTTTCTAAAAAGTTATCTCTTGCCCCTGAGAAAAAATCCTGGGGGCGCCCGTAGACGTATCATATATCAGAAGCAAAACAAAACTAATAAGATTATGATCATACACAGGGTGCTCCACAATTTTTCCGAGAAAAATAATGTAATAATTGAAGAATGCAATTTAGCAATAAATATCTAGTTGCTCTGGAATATGTCACTGACTTTTGACATCTGACAAGTCTCTGTTATTCAAATCTGTTCGCTGTGACATTTTTTCATTATTTAGTTTTTACAATCTTGTTAATAATGTTGAATTATTCAAATGCACACATGGCGGAAATGCATTACGTATATGGCCTTGCCGATGGTTATGGTAACCAAGCCAGATGGATTTATCACCAGAGATATCCCGATCGTGCTTTGCCTGATAGTCGAGCCTTTTCTAATATTCATCGTCGTCTTGTTGAAACTGGTTCTGTCCGAAAAGGAACATCTGAAGGTAGACCTCTAAGTGTGAGAACACAGGAAATTGAGGATACAGTGATGCAAGAAGTCGAAGAACGTCCTGAAACGAGTACGAGGAAGATCGCCATCAAATTGTTTGGAGATTTTTGGTGGAGTTTTTGTTATATCCTTACCATATTTTAAGAGTACAGGCATTACTTACTATTGATTTTCTAAGGCGTGTGACCTTTTGTCAGTGGTATCTTCAAAAAATTACACAAAATCCGCAATTTGAATCAATGATTCTGTTCACGGACGAAGCTAATTTTTCTCGAAATGCCGTTCAGAATTTCCATAATAATCATTTGTGGGCAGAAAAAAACCCGTATGCCGTAACAGAAACCCATTTCTAACACCAATTTTTGATAAACGTACGGGCAGGAATTATTGGCAACCACTTTATTGGCCCATTCTTCTTGCCGATACGACTTGACGAACAGACTTACCTCAATTTTCTTCAACAACAGTTGCCTTTGCTGCTTCATGATGTTCCGTTAGTAATGAGAAACAATATGTGGTATATGCATGATGGTGCACCAGCGCATTTCAATGTAGCGTTTCGTAATTATTTATAAACTGTTTATCCATATCGTTGGATTGGCCGCGGTGGGCCCCAAGAATGGCCACCAAGGTCCCCAGACCTCAACAGTTTAGATTTCTTTTTGTGGGGTTATCTTAAGACACTAGTGTACACAAGTCCCATTAACACTGTAGAGGAATTAAGAGAAAGAATAGTTGCAGCTTGTGATAGAATAAAAAAACACTCCAGGCATATTTCAACGAGTGCGCAATTCCATGAGAAGGAGGGAGGAAGCATGTATTCTTTTCAACAATTTTTGTAATCATTTCGTTGGTTTTAATGTTATGTTTATGTTGTTAGTCGTTGTTATTCATTACCCCTAATGTGTTTAATTTTTCCAATTAAATTAATAATAATTTTTCAAGTTAGACAATAGAACGGTGTTTATCTTTTTACTCAAAAATGGCGAATCGAAAGAAAATAATTTAAGAGAGACTATTTGTTTTAAATTGAACGTAGAATTCAAAAATCGCGTTTATTTGGTAAAAAACTATTGGAGTACCATTTTATTCT